GGTTTTTTGTTCTTTGTTAGATTGCACATGTTAGTGAGATCATATAGTATCTGCTTTGTCTGGATTATTTCTCTTAGCATAATGCCTCAAGATTCACCCATGTTGCAAATAGCAATAGTTCATTCTTTTTTATGGCTGAATTATATTCAATTGTGTATATGTATCACATTTTAAAAAATCTATTCACCCATCAATGGACACAGATGTTTCCATATCTTGGATATTGTAAATAATGCTGCACTGAATGTGGGGGAGCATATATGTTTTTGAGTTAGTGTTTTTGTTCTCTTCAGATAAATACTCAGAAGTGGAATTTTTGGGTCATTAGGTAGTTCTATTTTTAATTTTTTGAGGTAACTTCATACTGTTTTCCATAGTGGCTGAACCAATTCACATTCTCATCAAAAGTGCATTAATAAAAATATAGAGAGATCCCATGTATTGTATATCTACTTTTTCCCAAAGGCAACTACAGTTGCAAAATAATATAGTACAGTTTCATAACCAAGACACTGTCAGTGTCACAGGTCATGGAACTTTAAGAATTCTTTATACAAGGTAGGACAAAAGTAGGTTTACAGTTGTTTGTATGGAAAATAATACAATAATAAATAAATAATAAAAGAATAAATGCTGTTTCACCTACTCCCAAGTGCAAACCTACTTTTGCCTCACCCTGTATATTCTGGACCATACGGCATTTTCCTTCCAGTCTGTTCATATAGTAAATGATACTAATTAATTCTTTAATTTAAAAAATTGTGGTAAAATATACATAACATAAAATTGACCTTCATTACTACTTTTCAGTGTACAGTTCAATAGTATTAATTACATTCATATCGTTGTGCAACCACCATCACTGTTCATCTCCAGAACTCTCTTCATCCTGCAGAACTGAAAGCACCCATTAATCAACAATGCCCTTTCCCTCTTACCCCCTCGCCCCTGGCAAACACCATCTGCCTTGTGTCTCTCTGAATTTGACTACTCTCGGTGCCTCATATAAGTGGAGTCATACAGTATTTGTCTTTTTTTGACTGGCTTTTTTCACTTAGCATAATGTCCTGAAGGTCCATCAGTGTTGTAGTATGGATCTCCTATGCTTTAAGGCTGAGTAATGTGTCGTCGTATGTATATACCGTATCTTGTTTATCTGTCCATCATGGACACTGGGTTGCTTCCACCATTTGGCTTGTGTGAATAATGCCGCTGTGAACAGGGTGTACAGCTGCCTTCTGGACCCAGCTCTCAGTTCTTTGAGTGTATACCCAGAAGTGGCATTGATGGTTCACATTGTATCCAGATCTCCCTTTTACTCTCCCTCTGTTTTGCTCTTCTCTAAGCCCTGACTCTCTGAGTATCTCTTCCATTTAGATATTTAAGTTTTTAAAAATTCTCATACATTTATTTCTTTAAATAATGGTGTCAGTCCTTAGTGAAGAAGATTGTTTAGAGAACAGAGTATAGCAGTTATTGACTTTCCTAAGTGTCCAGAAATGCTTTTGCTTCAATCCTTGCTCTTGCAGAAGTGTTTTAGTTCTTTTTATTTTCTTAGTAAGTACAGTAGAGTGGACACGATCGGTTCTCTCTGCTGATTCAGGACCTTGCAGTGCTTTGGGCTGTCATCGTGAACAGCACAGTGTGCAGAGGGTGGACGCTGCTGGGGGTTGGAGCAGCGTGCTCACCCCTCTGAGTTCTTTATAAAACTACATCCTTGATATGAGTTTGTTTTATTTTATTATTTGGTGTTTAAAAGCAAATCAAACAATATATTTTTATATAACAGTATTTGAAAGATGTTTACTAAACTTTGTTTTTCATCTGGCCATCTTTACTATTTTTTTTTCTCTGCCTTCCTCTTTGCATCTGTATCCTGTATCACCAGGGAACAGGCCGTCTCCCAGCTCTGAGGAAGCACCTTGAGGAGGTGTAACTTTAGAAGGAAATGGGATCTGGAGTGCAGTCTTCATTTTCCTCTCCTAGCTGCGCTTCTCTTTCTTTTACTGCATTTCAAAGAAGAAAACAGAGCTTTGGAGGAAAGAAGATTAGAAAAAGAAAGAGGTAGAAGAATCAAGAAGAAGAGAAAAAGCAAATCAATTCTGAAGAAGCACATAGGAGGTGGGGCAGGGGGGTTAAGTGAGATTAGGGAGGATGATTAGAGACACCCCCAAAGTCAGGCTTCAGTATTGCTTCTGTCTTTGGACTAAATACCCTGACCTCTCTGAGTCTGGGGATCAGTTGTCTGGAACCTCCTGTGGCTGTGACAAGTAGGTCATTAAACCAGAGGTCACTTGGGCTGGAATGAACTTAATTAGCATTCTGCAACAAGCATTTCTTAAGTGCCTGCCATCCACAGCTTCCTGAATGTCATAGCCGTCATGCCACCAGTCAGGGACAGAAAAGACCAGCCCTCCACTCTAGGTTGTTCACTGCTCTCTGGGCAGAAGGGAGGAGTCCCCCAAGTTCTCCAAGTCCCTTCTCTGTCCCCTGCCTGGACATGCCTTTCTCTGATCCTGGGGCTGGGGAATTGCAGGATCTGTGTTTTTTCCTTTCAGCTTATAAGTCCGTTCATAATACTTGGAGCTAGAGGTCCTACCATGCCAAACTGTTAGATGTTACCTGATCTAACATTGCCTGATAAGGAGTAGTTCCCTGCTTTACAGGTAACAGAAATGAAGGTACCTGGTATATGTTAAACATAGTCTCCCAGGCAGGAATGACAGGTTCCTCTCACTTGTATTTTTATCAGCTCATAGGTTTGCATGACATATGGCCAGGCTTGGAAGCAACCTGGGAACCCAAAGGCATAACATTTTCAGTGTACCTTTCCCATGTGTTAACTCCAGAAAGAAGTTGGACATATTGTAAGGTAATTTAGTTACAAAGAAATTGTGGCATCTAAGCCTACATTTTTTTCTTACAGAAGTTAAGAAACAGAAGTAAAAAATACAGGTAGGCTTGATGGATCTAATAGATTACTGACATTGCACCTTTTTTTAAATCCTCGCCTGAGGGCATTTTTCCATTTTTTGTTCAGATAGAGTGGGAGGGAAAGAGAGAGAAACATCAAGTGGTTGCCACCCGCAAGACCCAACCAGGGCCGGGGACAAACTGCAACCGAGGTACGTGCCCTTAGCGGGAACCGAACCCAGGTCTTTCTGGACTGCAGGCCGACGCTCTAACCGCTGAGACAAACCGGCCAGGGCCTGACATTGCACTTTTTATGGCTTAGTTTGCTGCTCACATTTCTGATCTGAAATTGCTATTCTGCTTAATTAACTTATTTAAATACTCAAAGGTAGTTTGCGTTCTAAATGCGATTACTGTCCTTGATGTTTTCGTCTGACCGTTTAACAGGAAGAGCAGGTGTTGTGCACAGTGAGTGACTTATCTACATCATGAGGATGTCATAAATCACTGGTTCTCAACCAGGGTGATTTTGCCCCCACCCCCACACAGAGGGTATGTGACAATGTCTGGAGACATTTTGATGATCAAGCCTGGGGAAGAGGTGCTACTGGTATCTAGTGGGTAGAGACCAAGGATGCTGGTAAATATGCTACAGTACACAGGACAGCCCCCATACAACAAAGAATCATCTGGTCCGAAATGCCAACAGTGCTGAGGTTTAAAAACCCTGTCAAGCCCTGGCCAGTTTGGCTCAGCATTTAGAGCGTCGGCCTGTGATCCAAAGAGTCCCGGGTTTGATTCTGGCCAAGGGCGTGTATCTCGGTTGCGGTTCATCCCTGGCCATGGTCCGGGTCATGCAGGAGGCAACCAATCGATGTCTCTCTCTTACGTTGATGTTTCTCTCTTTCTCCCTCCCTCTCTCCCGCTCTGTCTGAAGATAAATGGAAAAATATCCTCAGGTGAGGATAAAAACAAAATAAAACCCTGTCATAAATATGTGCAGAAGATACGGTATAGACTGACTGATAAATCAACTACATTAGGAAAAACCCAAGATGGTGCTCATAATTGTGGCTATTGTCCTTGGGTTTTTCTGTTTTGTTTTTTTCTCCCAGTTTTCTATTTTGAAATCATTTTAGTCTTACAGCCTGGGTCATGTGTATCTCTATCTCTGTTTTCTTAGCACTTTGTACATGGGAGCTTTGCTAAATGTTGAATGAAATCAAAGAGGACTAAGACCCATCAGGAACAGATTCATCTAGGTTTCACTTCCATGTACACGGTGGGAAACACTGAGGTTTGGAGATCAGCATCTTGGTTTCCCAGAAACATCCAGCAGGTTGCCTGCCTCCTGCACCTGCTTGTTCCTTTGCTTCTGCTTGGCTAAGGTTGCTCACTGCCAGTGGAGTTCGTGTTGTGGAGAATATCTCCTGCTTAGGACACTTGTGAGCTTTGGTCTTGAAAGAGATCGTGTCACACCCTGCACCTTACCCCAGCCATTTGGGGTGGCCAGCACAGTCCTGTAGGCCAGCACTTTTAAATGTGTGTGTATGTGTATTCTGATTAAAACACAGAACCATAAAGTCAAAGTCTTCCGTAATCCTGATAATAAATTGGTATGTATTCTTCCAGTTTGTAAATGTATATATTGAGATATAATAATTAATGATAAAAATGGAATTATAATTTTATTGTGCATTGTACTCTTACAACTTATGTTTTTCTATACTATATCATGGACATTCTTTATTTTATCTGGTATGAGGGGTAAATCATTTAAATTTGTCTATAAAATAAAGATTATAGTATCCACTCACCTACTTCAGAGGCATTAGATTCAGGTATAAATTAAGATTTGTAAAGTGTGTTGAGTTTTTTAGATGAAAAAACCATGGTGTTATGGACAGTGGTCTATTTTCAGTTGATTATAACAATGTGGAATGGTTCTGTTACTAATTTCTATTGAGATGTTCTAGAAGTATATTTTAAGAACATTCTGAGTCTTTGGAAAGAAATGATTGTGGCTACGTTACTGTAGTTAGTGTAATAATCTTAGATTTTGACTGTCTTTTTTGTGTTCCCCACAGGCAAATACGTGTATCAGCCTATGACCCCTGTAGAACAGCTCCCAAGCACTGAGATTCCTGCGAAGCCTCGGGAACCCACAAACACCATTCAGATCTCAGTCTCTCTCACTGAACACTTTCTGAAATTTGCATCTGTCTTCCAGCCTCCCCTCCCGCCTGATTCACCAAGGTACTGTATGATCTCAGACCTCTTTATTGACAACTACCAGGTTAAATGTATTAATGGGAAGATGTGTTACGTGCAGAAGCAGCCAGCACCACATTCCCTCAAAATGAGCCCTCAGGAGGTCTCTGCACATGATGCCTTAATTTCAAAAGAGAGCAATACACCAAAAATAGATCACTGCTCTTCTCCCTCAAGTTCTGAGGACTCTGGGATCAATGCCATCGGGGCTCACTATGTGGAATCGTGCGATGAGGACACAGAAGAAGGAGCAGAACTGAGTTCAGAGGAAGATTACAGTCCAGAGAGCAGCTGGGAACCGGACGAGTGCACCCTTCTCTCCCCATCGCAGTCTGACCTGGAGGTGATCGAAACGATAGAAACCACCGTGTGAGAGTCAGCGCAGGAGCTGTCCTCTGATCCAAGCCGAGCTTTTGTACTTTTGTTGGATGGATCCTTTTTCCAGTGCAGTTGGTTTTTCTACCCCTCTCTAACAACAATAGCAGTTCAGTGGTCTGCTGATTAGCTTCACTCTTAAAGTAGTCTTATAACTAAGTATTTGTTTTCTTTTGTATCTTGACTTACTTTCTATGTAGCATCTGGTGTCATGAATTGTGACCCAGCCTTACTTTCACTGGGAACTTAGTAAGCAATGAAGTGATGGTCACAGAGTATCATGGACCAGGTTGAGGAGCTACCCAGAGTGAAGGAGACAGTACTTTTCTAAATACGCAGTTCTTCACGGAAAAACACCTGGCATTCCTTTTGGCATGCTGACAGGTACCCCCGCTGCCCTGCTAGTCCCATATGGGACTCAGCTCGCGTGAGGGGAACAGACTGTGCCCCAGTAGATGCCCTTCTGCCCCTTTCTCCTTCTCTCCACCACCTGCATGGGTCAAGGCCAGTTGCCTGGCTTACTTCTAGGAGGGTACTGGGGGCCAGCTTAGCCCCTAGCCAGTGTCTGCACAACCTTCCATGACCTGGGGCTGAACTAGACCTTCATTTAAGAAGAGATGACACCTTCAATTTCATGCTCAATCCAGCTTTAGCTGAGTGCCTACACTCTGCAGGGTACTGTGGGGATACAGAATGGGTAAGACCTGACTCCCCATGTGAAGGGAACCACAGTCCAATAGCAGAGATAATATCTGCAGGTAACATTCCCCAGAATGCTCTGGGAACGCAGCGGAAGGAGAGATGTACTTGGCTTGTCGCTGGGGAATGTGTTGCAGCATTTGAGCTGGTCTCTTGGGTGGGTTTCCTAACATTTCCCTACTTTTCTTAATTGTTCTTTAAATCTGGGGAAAACTTTTAGGAAGTTATATAGGTATTATATTTAGGAGGCAGCCACAACTGACGTCTTAAAAAAATATCAGTTAATAGTTTAGTTAGCATGGAAATGCTAAAGACGACAGTCCTTTAGGGATTAGGAATGAATGAATCTAATAGGTTTGATGAATTCTGCTTCATTTGGTTGTATGAAGCATTAGAATGGCTTAGGTGAGAAATGGATTAGAATTCATTATGATGCATGGGTTTTTATGCAAATGCAAAAGCAGTTGAAATAGTTCACTGCTAAGTCAGGAGAAAATATTTTGTGTAATATTCATTCACTTTAATACAGTAAAATTCATGGTCTGTTGTACATGTTCTCTTTTCTCACACATACACAATGGTGAATAATTCTTTCTTCTTTAGCTCTCTTCAGAAATCTATTCCCAATCTCCACTTATACCAGGTGTTCTTGTGTGAGTTGGTTATTTGCCATTTCTCCAAATCTCCTCTCCATGAGGCATAGTTAAGAATCCAGGACATTTAACATGTGGTCCTAATGAAACTAGAACTGTCAAAGTTGGAGACAGAGAACTGTTCCTTCTGTCCTGACTGCCCATGAGTGTGCTCCTGTGGCATTATCTCATGCTGTCAGCATTGTGGCACCCCTTTTCCGTGTTACGTCAGTTTGTATTTTAAGAAATAAGAAGCCTCCACTTGGCTTCCTTCACAAATCACCAGGCAGAATCTGGTTTCCTAGTCGTATGTGTAGTTCCAGTGATTGGCTAGAACATTTGTTAGCTTTAGGTGCCTGAACATCCATAGGGTTTAGAAAGCAGAGTATGCAGATTCCTTTGAGAACAGCATTAGTGAAAACTTTCTAAGCTGGATGAGAATGCAGCGTAAGGTCCCACCTGTTGAAAGGTAAGGACTCAATAGCTCGAACCAGTAAGGTGGTGAGAAGAGCTCCAAGAACAGGAGGGCACAGGGGAGGGCAGGGGAGGTGGGGGTGCAGTGAGGGTTTCCCCACTGGCTTGGCCCACCCAGCCTAGGTGGCTCAGGGACAGACATCTGCTGAGCCCTACCTGAGGTTCTCAGTGCCTCCTGCGATTGAGTGGTCATTGGTCAGCTGAAAGGGAGCTCAGGCCCTGTGGTGTATTCAAGGTGGTAATAGCAGCATTAGCACCCTGTCTCCAGCCCCACCCCCTGAGCAAGTAAGCTCATTGAAGCCCCAGTGCAGACAGAGGGTCCTGTTTCTCTGCACCGTTCCTACCAGTTCTGTGCTCTGGGCCCACATTCCTCATCCCTGTCCCTTACACTAATTGGAGTCAACCACGAGGCCTTTAAAGCCTTGGAAATACACTGTCATAGGGCCATGTTTCCGAAGCTGGCTGTTCGGGGTTGGGCCCTTTATCAATAATATCTATAACTTTCAAAACTCTTCAACTGCCATTCAGAGTAGCCACAATTTTAATGGAATTTTTGGATTTAATAATGGTTGATATAATTTAAAATATTTGCACAATCTCTTTATAATTAAAAACTCACTAAGCTTCACTTACTACTATTTTATAGAATTGGAGATGTTCCACTGGATTCTAAATATTAGATGCTCCTGGATCTCAGAATAACCTTTTCTAAACAAGCACAAGCAAGAATTTCTTTTGTCCTAGCACTGTTAATATTAATAATTCTCTAGAAAATTATACACAATTGAACCAGAATTGTTTCTTTATGCTTGCATTCCAAAAACAACTCACAAGGATATAAAAATGTGTAGTTTCAACTTAAATTCTAGGCCTGTTCTGTTCTATATTATATAAAAGAATTTCTCTGTAATCCTGATATTATATTGCTCTTTTTGTATAAGCATATTTATAGGCACTTTAGAAAGTATTTAGATGCAGTGTGTACTGTAGGTGTCGGAAGCAGTCATGTCGAACAGCCGCTGGGCTCGCGCTGCACCTTGAGAGGAAAGCCGGACTGGCGGGCGCTCACTGGGAGCAGGGGTGGCTGTGTCGATGGAGAAACTGCTTTCTTGGGCTTTTGTACAAACCTGGCCCCATTCCTATTTTTTGAAAGTTGGTATAAAAGCTGTTAGGTAGAAGACACAAAATAGTGCTGTGTGGAATTTAGCTTTCTTATCGTACCAAGATTTATTTTAGAATCTTCAAGTCTCAAATGTGCTCATAACTTTCCTGAGACACGATAAAGCAGTTTAAAATGCTTTGTGTTTGTAGTCTGTTGGTACATAAACAAATATGGCTTTACCATCAAATCTAGATTTTTTTTTACTTGTAATTTTCAAGATTTGAAAATAGAATTTGAGGGAAACCCTGAGAAAAAAAGGTTGCTTTACTGGAAAGGGAAAACATAGTTCAAGGTAATACCATACAAAATAAAACCATTAAATCCAGAACCAAATCGTGAAGTTATCCTGAAGTACCTTTTGGATTTGCTCTAGGATTTGATTCTTTCTTGCGGGTGGGATTTTATTTATTGACCTCCAGTTCCTGGCCTTTTGGAAACATCACAATTCTCTGGGAATTGGTCATAACAACTCCTCTTATGCAAATTTCTCTATTTGGGTAATAGGATGCAACCAGATAATTTAGAGAGCTGTCAAAATACCCAGCTATGCTTGGCAGTATAAATACTACCAGATAAGAAAAAAAAGCATAAGATAAAATAATATTTATACAGTCAGCTCTTGATTATTCCATCTTGTTTGCAACATTTTATTAAAACATTTTGGCTTTCTACATGAGGAAAACAAAAATGTAACTGTTCTTTCCCACGCCCCTCTCCAGAGGAGCGTGAGCAGCACTGAGAGGCCAGCTGTATTTTTAGAAGGTCAGGAGTGTGGGTGTCTCGCCCTCAGGAGGGCGGCAGGAGGAGGCGGGAGCTCCACTCACTGTCGGGGCTGGGTTTCCAAGGAGGTCAGTATGTCTCACACCCCAGCATAAGTACAAGGACACTTCTCAGAACTAATTTTGGAAGTATTTTCCTTTAGAAAATGTGTGTCACAGCTCCCTTTCATATCATGGACAGTTGAGTGTGGGCTGATTGGGGGAGGGCCTGGTTCTCTGGGCTGGGGCTCTGTCTGGGGGCTGACCTGAGCTCGCGTCCCTGTGCTCACGTACCCTTTTAGGCTGTTCATACCTTACAATATTCAGTTACTGTGCTATTTTTTAAACTTGTGTATTTTAAAGTTTTAAGCACAATGTTGACCATTCTGTAATTTCCTAAAACTAGATTGTTTTCCTACAGACAGCTCAACTTTCTTTTATGTATAATACTTTAGGAAAATAACTACCTTGTAAAATAAATGTGATTTTTTTTCTTTTGTACCAGCACAAATTTGGCATTTTGGAGTTTGGAATATTCTTTCCCTGCACTCCCCCCTTTCAAGAAGTTCTGCTTTAAATAACAACACAGTGAGCTAAACAAAACAAAACTCACGTTTGTGAAATGTGAGATAGTTACATCGTGTGCTCACACTGTGCCGGGATGAGCAGTTTGCATCTCGTCCTGGGTGAATGTTGTTATCCGTAGCACATAACTCCCAGAGCCCTTTGTAATAAGGCTTTTTGTTGGCTACTTTAGGTTTATACAAATAACATTTACATTCTCCACAAACAGTATTTATTTCACACAAAACTACAAGTTTTGTATTCAGATCACACATCCCATGTAGACAGTTCAACCACAGGTCCTTGGTGTGCAGCTACTGGGTCACCGAGGCTCACAGTCCAAACCTCAGGCTGGAAACCCAGGAGCTCAGTTTTCACATTCAACACTCCCGGAAAAGAACAACTACTGGGGTTAGCTTTTATTGAACAGCCTCACTGGGATTGCTAAATAAATCCTTTTATTAGTAATAGTAATATCATTATTAATACTATTAATAATTATGGTTCAACATCTACCTTACTGCTTTCTATGAGTAACCCTCACAGCAGCCCGAGGGAGATTTTAGCATCCCCATTTCATAAACGAGGAAGAGAATTCAGGAAGTACGTATTTTTGCCCAAGTGGCCCAGCTTGTACGTAGTGGGAGTCAGAGTTTGAACCCAGCCCTTTGGCTCGGGAGCTCACCATCTCAGCCCTTGGCCTGTGTTGTCTGCTCTTAGGGCACCGGCCCACCCTCAGGGCACTCGGAGGCTGAGCCGTGGGTGCCTCGTGAGCCTGGAAGGAGAGCGGCAGGTGTTCCATCCCTGTCCCTACCCAGGAGCACCTTCCCACGGGCTGGAGGCTCATGCCTCCCCCAGGGTGGCTGCTCTCCAGGCAGTGTTGGAGAAACACCCCCAGGCTTCCTTCCTCTCTCCTTTTCCGTGCTCCACACAGCCCTCCCCCAGCATGCATGCACACGCACACCCGCCCCATCTCTGCAAATATCTCAGAGCTGTCATTAGGCCAGTTTCTTCCACGTTGAATCACACCTTGAGGAGCAGTCAAGGCTAGCTGTTTCTGCCTTCACAAAAGATGACTTGTCTTTTAAAGTGACTTCTGCAGACAGCTAATCTCATCTACCGTGTGTGCATTCTGCTAATTTAACTCTACGTAATTGCATTGCCAAGTTCTAGAAGGCATTTCATTGTAGCCTCTTACAGTGCTGACTACACACACTTTTATTCTGCAATAAACTTGACTTGAGCCTCACATCCTCCTCAGTTCAATCACCTGGGGGCTGGTGATGCCTCTTTAACCCTTGTGCCACCCGTTCTGTGCTGACACGGAGCTGCGGGGAAGACCGCATCTTGGGACTCAGTTCACCACAGCAGGGTTCAAGGAGGGGCAGCTGGAGGCCACGTGGACTTCTTGAGGAACCAGGCAGATTGCAAAATTCGGTGGAAATGCAAGTGAAAAGCAAGACAAAGTAAATATGCCTACACATTAATGGTGTGTTTCTGTTTGCTTTTTTGAAGCTTCCTGGTTTTCTAAAATGAATTGATACTGTTTTTACAGTCAGAAACAAACCCAATATGTTAATTGGTCAGATGATTCGGGGGGTGGAGCCAAATGTGCTGGGGTGCGGGGTGGGAAGAACGTCTGGGGTGCGGGGTGGGAAGGACGGCTGGGGTGCGGGGTGGGAACGACGTCTGGGGTGCGGGGTGGGAAGGACGGCTGGGGTGCGGGGTGGGAACGACGTCTGGGGTGCGGGGTGGGAACAACGGCTGGGGTGCGGGGTGGGAAGGACGGCGCTGGGTGCGGGGTGGGAAGGACGGCTGGGGTGCCGGGTGGGAACGACGGCTGGGGTGCAGATGTAAACGGAGAGCCCGCAAGTGCAGGCCTCGTCTCACCACTCTGGTGCCTGCTGGACCAGACTAGAGCCGGGCTGGGGAGTGTGTCCTGAACCAGCGGGCCTCCACCGAGGAGTGACCCGGTTCCAGACGTCTGACCACGGCTGCAGAGTTCTTGGGCCAGCGGGTTGGAGAGAGGAGAGGATTTGTTTCTCGCTGCTCTCAGCCCCTAGCCTGCAGCTCTGCTGTGAATTTGGAGAGGGAGATCAGAACCCTGGGGCCCTGGTGGGACATCTCAGCCCTCTGTGACGCCTGGCCTGTCACCCAGTGTGAAACCCCAGGTGACTTATCCCAAGAAAGAGATCTGGAGTGTCACTGCAAGATGACAACAGAAAACAGCATCACGGATCAGCGAAGCACCACTCGCCTGAATGGGGACTTACCCCAGCGGCACTGGTAGAGCAGGATAATTTTGTGAGTTTATGGTTGAAACAACAAGAGCTAAGCCAACCATGAAGGCAGGTCAGTCAGTCATCCATGGCAGGTAAGCAGCACTGGCTGACTCCCAGTTGGGCGGTAATACGCCCTCAGCTGGAGCCCAGTCACACCTGCCCTGCTCCTCAGGCCCCCGCCCAGGCCCGCGCAGGCCCGCGCAGGCCCGCCCAGGCCCGCGCAGGCCCGCCCAGGCCCGCCCAGGCCCGCCCAGGCCCGCGCAGGCCCGCGCAGCCCGGCAAAGCCTCTCTGCGGGCAGCAGTCAGGGCAGTGTTTAACTGGGGGGCGGGGGTGATGAACTGAGACTTGAGGGCCTGAGGTGCTGGTCATTTGTATTTGCTTGATCTGGGTGCTGGTTCTACAGGTTGTTCACTTCTTGAGCGAATCCAGCTGTATACATACGGTTTGTGAACATTCTGTTCATAAAATTTACTTAAAAAACAATGATTCTAAAGAAAATGTGGTGATACCTATTCTGTTTTAAGCACTGTGCTTATGGGGGACACGGAGTGGCTAGAACATAATCCTGACCTCGGGAGTGTCGGGGACAGGGAAACACCCCCCTGTGGGAATGAGGTGAGCGGAGCTGCCATTTCCCATCAGTAGCTGGGGAAGGCTGAGCTCAGGGTGTGGAGGAGGCTGGTGGCAGAGGAGGGGCTGCCCCAGGGGAGCTCAGCAGTGCGCAGGCTCCCGGGGGGCCTGGAGGGAGACCTTCCTGCATCTCTGGGCTCTTCACAGGCATCTGATTCTGGAGAGGCAC